CACTTTACAATTCACTAGAGAACACGCTAAGTTTTTCACAGCCTGCAGTGTCTACACTAGTAGTTGCATGGTAACAGCTCCATCATGGCTAATCCCCTTCTTCCATGCTCAAGTCCTATCTGAATGCCGGCTACCTTCCAAATGAGCACTCTTGCAACTCCAACTAAGTCTTCCCTTCACCGACTGACTGAACTCAAAGCACAAACCATGCAGAAAACACTGTTCCTCTGTTGCATGTATATCAGTTGCTGTGTGAACATGTTTACTGAGCCCTTCCCTAGCAATGACCGTCTATTCTTGCTTATTAAGAATCAACTGCCTAGCAATGTATGTTGTTCTACTGTTTGTTTTGCAGCTGATGCCACAGTATTATCTGACTGACCGAGAATGGTTAACAATCCTGAAGCAGTGTGCAATTATCTTTGTCACTATAAGAGTCTGTGAAAATAATTCTTCCTCATTCAGAACATTCTTAACCCAATGTGATATATTATTCTCTCTCTCCAAATAGCAGAACGGTTAAGAAAATTTTCTTTTATTCTACCTACTACTGACCTATAAATATACGATATTCCAACAAATATTTTGGATCAGTCTTCTTCTGTGCATAGGTTGTTGTGATTATTGTTATGTTTTTGACAGCAAAAGTGTTTTTCTACACTGGGTTAATCAGAATATTTACATATTTACATACAATGTTCCAGGGTCACAAAGAAAGTTTCATTCAGGTGTTTAATTGAAATAATGAAAGTGTTGCAACTTTCAAATAAATTCCATTAATGTCATAATTAAATTAAGAATATACATAAGTAAGTTACAAATGGATATAGAACTTAAACAAATAAGAGTATTAATTTGAAAAAATGCTTTTATTTCTCAACATAATCTCCCTGTACATTGAGGCACTTGTCCCATCGTTTCACAATCCCCTGAAAACCAGCAGCATAAAATTCTTTGGGCTGCTGTCGGAACCAGGCATGTTCACACGGCATGGCCTACCACACAATGCATGACGGGTTGCATGCTTCTGTTGAATGGCCTTACAATGTTTCCTGAGATGTTACAGTAGGAGTCGCCATTTACGGTTTGTCCTCGAGGCTGGAATGCGGTGGGCAATATGGCTTCATGATTCCAGAAGAATGTATCACTTTCCTGGAGGATGGTGTCACCTTAAACTTTTTTTTTGGCAGGTGACACACACTTCGTCTCAGGCTGGTAATGGTGATCCCAAGACTCATCACCTGTGACAATTCGGGCTAGCATATCATGTCCTTCATCATGGTAGCGATTGAGATACTGTAATGCCTGACCCATTCTTTGCATTTTGTGTTGTGGGGTCCGCATGCATGGCACCCATCATGCACAGACTTCGTGAAAACCTAACCTGTCATGCATTATGAGGTAGGCCATGCCATGTGAACATGCTTGATTCTGACAGCAGCCCAAAGAATTTTATGCTACTCATTTTCAGGGGCTTGTGAAACGATGAGACAAGTGCCTCGATGTACAGGGAGATTATGTTGAGAAATAAAAGCATTTTTCAAATCAGTACTCTTGTAACTTACTTACTGACTTACCTACGTATATACATCACCGCGCCATAGCTTAAGCAGTTAGTCGCTGGCTTCCCACCGCTGCGGTCTAGTCAAGTGGGATTTGTGATGGACAAAGTGGCGCTTGGGCAGGTTCTCCCCGAGTACTTTGGTTTCCCCTGCCAATCCTCATTCCATCAAATTCTCTCTAAGAATTATCACCAGTACAGGTACAATAGGACATATGGAAGCCGACTTGCCGAGGGGACCAAATATGGATTCCACCTCGCACTATATGAAATCTTAACTATTGTAATCAGCCAATGTACAGTAACTGACTTGTCCTATATCATGTAACAATGATCTATAGAGATGAACTAAATAAATAAAACATACTCCCTTATATAAACATCATTACATTCCCCTTCCAAAATAAAAGTAATGGGGAAAATTACACAGACAAAAGGACAGATAAAGGAATGTAATGTTACCATACTGTCAAATAGCTGTCTCTCAGAAATGTGATTTCCTTTGCTTTAGCTGCATCCCTATGCGAGAGACATAAATCAAAGCAGCCACATCCATCTCTGAAGACTCAGACATGTTAGGCATCCCAAATTAAACACAGTACAGTAGAGAATATTATGTTATTCAGAGCAACTTACGTCAGCTGGACAACTAACCTTGTCATTTTTGATACAAGAACTGCAATGATATAATTATTAAACATCCATAATTATTTGAAATAATCTTCTATTTCCTGCAGAGTTTTCCCCAATGTTTCAGGTAAGAATATATACACAAATGCAACATCAGCCAATGATATGAAACTGAAAAAGAAGAAAATTCCTTCAGCCCCAGTAATATGCAATGCAAAAGGGAAAGTTTTTAGAACACCAAACATCAAAATGTATGCAATTCCAACCATGAAACCACCACCAATACCGCAAACTTTTATTGGTAGGAGTTCTCCTATCAGAGTCCATGGAATCACAAGAATCCCTAGGGAACAGAAGCACACATATAATAACACACACAGTACACATGTCCAATGTTCTGTTTCTGTGGTAACTACAACTTCTGTGCTGTTTTCTGAGTTTATAAAGACTCCAGTATATTCAACAGGGTTTATGTGCAAGTAAATACCTACAATTAATGTTGTAATGCACATCCCTAGTCCTGACAATATATTCAATGGCCAATGACCAAATCTACAGGAAGCTATTGCTGCAACAATACTCATTATAAATCTGTAACAGAAGGAAAGATATTGTTATTCAGATGAATATCAACTGATGCAAGTAATCTGTTGTATCTTTCTTTAGCAAAAGTAAAATTTCATATCTATATTCTGATGGGTATAATACTCATATACGTGTAAAATACAACGCACCTTATTAATCCCAGAAAATCAAGTGCGTCGTATTCATCAAATCCTGATCCAAAATTTCCTCCAACCATCTTAAAAACATGGACGGCATAAAATATGATAACATAACCTCCGATAATTGTTGGAACAGGAAAATGAAGAACAATATGATGACTGGTTTTAATACGGAGGGGACCAATATGGAGTTGGGGGAAAAAATCTGAACCCTTCACTTTTATTCCTCTGTCTCTGTTGATGCGTTGTTTCCATTAGTGTCTTCAGCTCTTCCTGACAACGCTGAAAATAAAAAAATAAATAAAAAATATTGTTTAATTCTACAGGATGATAAAGTATTTTTAAAAATCTTAATACACATCATTTGATGGAAATCAGTACAAAATTTTATGTTTTAGAACTTGAGAACTTCATGTATGGTTTGCAGCGCTTGCAGCCATTATTATGAATGTTACTACATTTACGGATGTAATGTCATATAGTGCAGTAGATAGTTACCAAGGTAGATGGAAGCAACAGCTTCCTCCAAAAAGTTGCCAATTATCTGCAAGACTACACAGCATCACAACACACCTCTACATTTTACTGTTTGCATCCTGTTGTGTATCATGTCACTATATAAAACCAAGGTAACAGTGATATTAGATTGGTTTCATTGATACACTTACTGTGCTAACGGCCAAAAACCACATCACTCCAATACACACCTGTTCTATCCTCAGAATGGAGGCACAGGTTCCTATAAAATGTTGGTAATTATCCAGAGTACACAGCATCACATCTGTTTCTGCCCTGAAGATGCAGACAGCATGTTCCTTCAAAAGGATGGTTAACTGTCTACCAGACCACATGGCATTAAACTGACTCTTCAGCCCCAAAGATGGAGGCATTACATTCCTCCAAAATGTTGGTAAATATCTACCAACCTACAAGGCGTCACATCCCAGAAAACAGTACCCATCATAGGACGATCTACCTATCATCAAGAAAATACTAATGGTTTAATCTCAATCCAAAGAATATCAGGATAGGTATACTGCCCAATTACATTTCAAACAACAAGTTAAGAAAATACTCTGTGACAGTGTGAAATACACTCACATGTATTTAGCATTGCATAACACAATGGATTCATAATAAAGGGCTTGGCTATTAATCCTTTACATGAAATACTGTATTAAGAATCAAGTCATACTCTCAGTTAATATACATAATTGTTACTAGCTGTCTGTATTAGCTTACCTGCTAGCTACAGATCTCAGAACTAACTCCTGGCATACAAACCAATCTTGAATGAGGATCTCTGTAGACTTACTCACTCACTCCAGGCAGTGCTGGGTTTGTACCTCAATTATGCCATGATAACTTCCTTCCAAATCCCTTCCAATTCATCATCATTCATGTCTCATCCTACTACCAGATGCTACAGTGTTCATACAGTGGAACCTCGCTTAACGAGCAAAACAAGTTGTAAAAAAATGACTCGCATAACGAGTGACGAGAGGGGAAGTCCTGCATTGTGTGTTTGCTACATCAGCCTGTGTTTAGGAGTTGTTCTGCTAGCATCTTAGTGTCACTTGTGATCACACATTTTTCCAAACTTGTGTTCAGACATATTATTTGTGATTTTTTTGTGGAAAGTTTAATAACCCTTGCAAAAATGTCCCTGAAGAAAAAGCCGCAAAAAGACAGCCATAAGAGAATAAAAATAATCTTAGAAATGAAATGTAAAATCAATGAAAAGCGAGAAGAAGGTGTGAGCGTGGCTGATCTAGCACGCACATACAGTCAGTCTACATCAACGATTTGCACTATCCTCAAGAACAAGATTAAGGAGACAGATGCTTCAAAGGGAGTGACAAGAATATCTATGCAATGGTTACATATTCTCGACGATGTTGAAAGGTTGCTCCTCGTATGGATAAACAAAAAGCAATTGCAAGGTGACACTATTAACGAGAACATCATTTGTGAGAAGACGAAAGTGATTTTCACCGACCTCGTTAAGAAGACGCCAGGATCATCAACGGCCAAAGAAGAAGCATTTAAGGGAAGCCGTGGGTGGTAGCTATGTGCGCTACAAATTTATTTCATGATAAAGCTGTGTCGTATTTTCACCAAATTTTGAAGCATCGGCAAAAACAAATGTCTCTACACAGCTTTCTAGTAAAAAAGAATTAGATATGTATCATAAATAATAAACTAATTATTTCGTTTTTTTCTGCAAATCGAATTCGCATTCCAGGTTGGTTCATTCCGCATAGAAGAAAAGATGAAGATGATTCACACTCCTTAACAATGTATATATAATTTTCTTTGAATAAACGTTACACATAAAATTGTTTGAGTATTTTTTTTGGCATGGAATGCATTATCATATTTTACATTAATTTATATGGGAAAAATTGTTTCGCATTACGAGTAAGATTCTGGAACGAACTATGCTCATTATGCGAGGTTCCACTGTACTTCCAAGTGTTTTTAAATAACTTACAGGGAAATGAATAGAAACTTGTGTGGTATAATATTTTAATTACATAGTTATATAGCAATTATTATAATAATTCATAAAATATTGTTAACTTTACATATAAGTCTTAAATGTAATTACAACACAAAGACCACAATATGAAGAACAGCAGCAGTTTCACCAGAACGCATGTAATCCAACCTCATGATGACCAACAATATCAAAACATGTAACCAAGCTTTATTTTGGAAAGGAGGTTATTTTACTCTGCTGTCTGTAGCCAGAATACACAGCATCGAACAGTAAGATAACAGATAAATGATAAATTGGCAATGATACGGAAGAAAAATGTCACAGCCAAACTGAGTTACCATCTTGTTATTTGCCTGGAGGGACTAAGGAAAACCACATATAACCTCACTCAAGATAGCCAGGGTCCTGGCTGAGATTCAAACCATCCTCCTCCAAGGCCAAATTATTGTACATAATTTATGATAATCATACAGGCTCTGCTGATAATGCATATATGTGTCTTCTATGTTCAGCCTTAATGATAAGCTGAATGTCCTCAGTTACTGTTTTCATTATTCCCTTTGCTAGTCAGAAATCGTAGCACTTGCTACTCACCTGAGGGTGCCTGTTCAGCCACCTGACTGCTGCCTCAATAGATCCTCCCTCCTCCTCTCTGTAAGTGGCCAGCCAATGTGGGCTCTCAGGTAGGAACCACAGGGCCAGGAAACTCATGGCAGCCAGGACTCCAAACCAGATAGCCATCCCCCTCCAAAAGAACCACTGTGCCAGGACGCATCTGAGTAGAATACCAAATGACACAAATACACTGTTGAGGCACAGAAGAATGGGACGAATTTTGGAATTCGATACTTCAGAAACATAGACCAGAGCCACAGTGGATAAACCTGTACATATATTATAATTCTGAGATCTGTCATTCTCATAACAATAACTATGAAAATTAGTGTCTTTTCTAAGATATGACACAATTTATTCTGATAGACAGTTACCAGCTGTTTGAAGAAAACTGCTGCCACCATCATTACGGCAGAATAATAAGCCAAGAGTGTACAAAAACACTGTGGATAGAAAGAATGGGAGGAAGGGACTGGGGCTGTGAGCAAAACTATTCATCTCTTCACTCTCCCTTTGAGAAGAGGAATTCGAGGGTCACTGTTTTCTCATTATATTCTCCTAAATTCTCTCCACTTCCTGCTGGTTCACTCAGAGGCATCATTTCTTCCACTCACTATGACCATAGAGAACAATCTTTAAATGATCAATATTCTTTACTCTGTTCTCCCTAATTCTATCACTTCTGCAGAGCATCAGTCCAACTCCTCACCCTGTCATCTAGCCTGAAGATGAAGGCAGCAGGTTTCTCCAAAACATGTACTTCGGTTTCCCTTACCAATCTTCATTCCATTGCTCCATTCCATTCCATTCATTGCTCCACAATAACCCTCACCTGTCATCTGGGGCTGGTACAATAGGCCAGAAGTAGCAGCAGTACAAGGGACTTAGTCCCACCCCACAAGCAACAAGAAAAAATACAGTCATATAGCCGCAGGATGAATGAACAAAGAATTAGAAAGCACCTGAATGCAAGTGGCTGCAGCATAATTTGAGGTACTTCTCTTAGACTTGTTCCTATTCCATATGAGTCGATGGACGAGAAGTCCCTAATTCCTCCTTTCTGCCCACAATCCTTCACTTTTTATTTCTTGCCAGCTCTTTCCTTTCATATTGCTCTCTTCCTTTATCTGGATGAACCATCCTGCTCTGAGTAGTACCATGGGTCTCTTTCCTTTAAATTTTGATTACAATGCTCATCTGGTATCCTTATTCTATC